TTAAAAACAATATAATAAAATAAACACAGCAGTAATAATATAATTCAAGATGGCAAAAGTAATCAGGTGATGACAGGAAGGAAAGCCTGCCTAAAGAGCCAGGTCAAGTTTGCTCTTAAAAACACCCAGCAAGGGATTCAGACAGATCTCTGTGGGCAGACTGTTCCAGAGGCGAGGGGCCACTGCTGAGAATGCTCGGTTTCTTGTTCTTTCTCTCCGGGCCTCCCTTGGTGTTAGGCCCCTCAGCTGCCCATCTAGGTGGGAGGAGGCATTCCACTAGATATTGAGGTCCTAAGCTGTATAGGGCTTTATATGTCATCATTAACAAGGCAGCCAGAGTGGGGGAAATATGCTGATATTTTCTCACTCCAGTGAGAAGTTTGGCCGTTGCATTCTGCACCATTTGAAGCTTCCATATCAATCTCAAAGGTAGGCCCATGTAGTAATCTAATCACATTGCAGTAATCTAATCTCGAGATTACAAGCACATGAACCAGAGTGGTGAGCGCCCCAACATCAAGATAGGGACGCAGCTGGGCAATCCGTCAGAGATGGAAATAGGCGAAGTGGACCTCTGACGCTATCTGGGTTTCCATGGTGAGCGCTGGATCCAGATGGACCCCCAAGCTGCAAACCTCACTCTTCATGGTGAGAGTCACTCCCTCAAAAGACAGGAAGTTTCCCAAACCACAGATGGCAGGGCCATCCACCCTCAGGGCCTCTGTCTTGTCTGGGTTCAGCCTCAGTCCATTCTCTTGCATCCATTGCAGAACGGACTCCAGGAAGCTCTGGAGGGATGGAACAGCATCCAATGTTGTTGGGAAAAGGGAGATGTAGAGCTGGGTGTCATCAGTGTACTGATGACACAAAGCCCCACAACCCCCTGATGACCCCACCCCAGAGCCCTCATGTAGATATTAAACAACATTGGGGAGATAATCAAGGAGAACCAACAGATACATTTTGCCCTTCGGCCTCCCTCAGCAGGTCATCAAACAGGGTGACCAATGCAGTTTCTGTACCGTGGCACAGACTGAAGCCTGACTGAAATGGATCCAGGGCATTGGTTTTGTCCAAAAGGACCTATAGCTGGTCAGCAACCACCCTCTCTACCACTTTGCTTAGGAAGGAAACATTGGCAACAGGCCTATAGTTGCCAATGTCATCCACTGGCAAATTTGGTTTCTTTCTGATAGGCCTAATGAGTGTCTCCTTGAGGGCAAGGTCCTGGAGAGACCCATTAATTATTGCAGTGGCCCATTTAGTTGTTACAGGCCTGGCTGCTTTGATTAGCCAGGCCGGATAAGGGTCAAGGGAGGTGGTGGTGGCATGACAGCGAGCAAGCACTTTGTTCACCATACAGTATCAGACATCACAGGCAGAAAATGATTACATCTTATCAGGCAAGGAGGAGCATTGGACGCCTCTACTCAATCTATTTTTTTCAAATAGGGGATAAGATGGCCTCCACTTTAGATTTTTAAAAATTCTGCAAATTGGTCAGGTGAGATGCTAGTGGGAGGCCCATCACTGTGACAAACGCTGGATAGATAGCGGACAATACAGAAAAGTTCCGCCTGCGGATTAGAAGCTTCACTCATCCAGACAGTGAAGTGAGCTCAACTGGCAGCCTTCACCTTAGTAAAGTACTGGTTAGTTGTGATCCTGACAGCTTTTCAATTATATTCTGTTGGGTTCTGTCTCCAATAGCAGTCTACCCTTCTCCTGTTCTGCTTCATAGCTCACAGCTGCTGGTTAAACCAGGGCCCTGGACGAGCTCTGCAATGGAGAGGGCCTTTAGGAGTGATTGTGTCAACAACCCTGGTAGCAGTGGCAAGCCAGTCATTAACCAGAGCCTTGACAGGAGCACCAGTCAGATCAGCCGGAATCCCTCTCATTGAATCCTGGAATCCTAAAGGATCCAGTAACCTTTAAGGGCGGACCATTAAAATAGGTTTTTGCTCCCTGCCGGGAGGGAGAGGCACTGAGAGGTTGCATTTAATTAGGCAGTGATCTGAACATGACAAGGGGACTGACACAAGGTCAGTCACTATCAGATCACACACACTCTGCTCGGTGGAGAACACAAGGTCTAACGTGTGACTGCCCACATGGGTGGGGCCCTTGACATGTTGGGACATGTCCAAGGAATCCATGGTTTCCATACACTGATTCATATCCATCAACCAAAAACACCTTTATTTTCACAGCAAGGAATTTTAAAAAAAGCTCACCCCACTGCTCCAAATGGTACCGTCTAGGTAAGTTTTATTGCTCAGCTTTGCTCTTGCTGGGTGGATAAACTGTATTCAGTTTAAGAAGCAGCATGAGGAGGACCTCTTGAATGGGATGTGTATCACTGTTAAGTGAAACAGCAAACTGTTCTGCTGGGAATGAAGCAGGCTGGGACTCCTGGGGTTAGTATGAACAATGCACAAGATAGAAAGGATACAGCTGGCAAGAGATAAAGGGCCATTGGCAGGGTGTACTGAAGGCTGTGGAAAGTGGCTTGCAGCCCAATTGAAGTGCTTAACTGTACGAGTTAAAGAAAGCCTGTGGGATGCCAGATATTACTGGACTGAAATTCCCATGATCCCTCACCATTGGCTTCATGGGCTAGGGCTGATGGGAGTTGCAATCTAACAAGAATGGAAGCACTACATGTTCCTCAACCCTTGCTTAGAGATATGCCTTTGCCACTGATTCTTGTGCACAGTAGGCAGCTAAACTTAAAACATTTCTACTGTTGTTTTTTAACTTCAGGTTCATCTATCCCAAATACGAAGACATTTGAAAAACTAGCTTGAAATGAAATTCTTCCCCATCTTTCCCAGCCGAATTCAACAGATACTGTCTTTTCTGGTATGCTGAGCCTGCTCACCATACAGGTGTTTAAAATGCAGCATCTCAGGGAAGTAACAATAATAATTGTGTTCCCTCAAGTCATTGGCTTATGGCGCCAGGGTTTCCTAGATAGAGAGTACTCAGAAATAGTTTATCATTCCCTTCTTCTGGGGGCACCTCAGGTATCATAGGAAAAGAATGGCTGGGTGAACTTCTTCCTGGTGCCCTGGGCTTTTCACATTACAGTGGTGTTTTTCAGAATAATGGTGCTGCTGTAGCTCTTCTACTGCCCATGTAATCTGAGGACCAGAGCATCTTGGTAGTAGTGACTCCTTAAATAACAAAACATACTGAAGTCATCATCTGTGATCTTTAAAAAGCATACTTCCATGTTTAAAATAAACCCCAAGCTTTATTACAAATGAATTGTTTATTCAAAGTTTTTTTCATGAGGAAGAGGACTATGACTGCATTACAGAGGGGGTGTATTTTCAGACTCAGGAAGAACAAAAGATAATAAAGTTAGAACCATATGTGTAAACAAAAGCTAATTGACGGCACTGATCAGACCATAGCTTATGTCATGCAAATTCCCTAATATCAACATCGAAGTTTAAAAGGAAGACGAAGAAGTGAAAGCACAGAATTGCATGGAAGGTTTTCAAAGCACAGGAGGGAAGAAAATAAAAACCACATGTTCTGGCTGGAGTACACAAAGTGCATGGTTTTGAGAGTGCCTAAGCAAGGTCTCTCAAGATTATAGTCCAACATTCAGAGAGCTCTGATTAGCATGTGTAAGATGGCTTTGACAACAGCCCCCCACGTTCACCCCAACCCATCTCATTCATGGTGAGGTGGGTTGGGATAGAAAAGCCAAAGGCTTCACTGTAGCCCTGTTTAAACATGAAGACTGAAAGCTGGTAGAAAGCTTCACCTCCCTTATTCTACCCAGATGCTACACAGGCCTCCATGTGTTCAGTGTGAAGGTCTGCCTGTGAGGAAACAAAATGCCTGGGCAGGGCTTTGTACTCAACACATGAAGATCTACTTTACTTCCACATGCAATGTGGCAGGAGAGGCTTGAATGTTAACTTCTGTCCCCACCATTCCATTGAATCTCCAGGTTTAAGCCCCCCCCCCCAAAAAGGATGCCATCTGTGGTGCTAGCTGTGAAGCTACTTGAATTGTGACCTACAGATAAAGTAAAGGTAAAGATTCCCCTTGACAATTTTTTTGTCCAGTCGTGTTCGACTCTAGGGGGCGGTGCTCATCCCCGTTTCCAAGCCATAGAGCCAGCGTTTTGCCCGAAGACAATCTTCCGTGGTCACATGGCCAGTGCAACTTAGACATGGAACACTGTTACCTTCCCACCGAGGTGGTCCCTATTTATCTACTTGCATTTGCATGTTTTCGAACCGCTAGGTTGGCAGGAGCTGGGACAAGTGACGGGCGCTCACTGCGTTGCGTGGATTCAATCTTACGACTGCTGGTCCTCTGACCCTGCAGCACAGGCTTCTGCGGTTTAGCCCACAGCGCACCACGTCCCTGTGACCTACAGAGCCATGGTTCAATTGAAGGCACAAGTTACACTTTTTACAAAGCCGTTTCTCTTAAAATGTGCCTATACAAACATATGCATCACAGATGCAAAAGGGAAGAAGAGGAGGAGGTAGTAAGGTTTTAGGTTATTGCTAAGAAATCTGTCTTCCCTCAGCCACAAGATCTGAAAGCCTCAACCCACAAAGAGTCACAAAGTTGATTGCTTAGTCAAACAGAAATAGGGAAATTTTGGCCCTCTGCATATTTTAAACTACAGCTTCCATATTCCCTCACTTCACCATTGGCTATGCTCAGTAGGTCTTCAAGGGTGTGTGTGTAAGAGGATCAAGAGATCCAAAGCTTTCCCATCCTTGTCTGTAAGGAGACCTGTTTACTCTGTGATTTAAAAAGAAAAATCAACATGGAAATTTAATCAACATGGATAAATCCAAGTACAAGGTGATGATTCTATCATTATCCATACATAAATGAATGCTAGATAGACATTTTGACTCTTGCTAAAAATTCATGAAATAGAGTAATTTTTTACATTAGCACCTTATAGAAAACCGATTATTCACTGTATTGGCCTTCAAGGACAAAGAATACTTCTTAGGTACATGAGCACCATTGATTTTATTTTTTGATGTGAACAAGTACAAAGGTTTAGGATCAAACTCAGTGACCGTATTTTGCTTTCTGACTATATAAAACATATAGCATAAAATAGATCCTGAGACTACTTCAGGCTAGCATGATTAATGTTGTCTCTGAAGATCAAGTCCAAAATATTTCATCAGAATCTCTGCAGTGGGGGGGAAACTTAACTTTCAGAGGAATTAAAAGAGAAATAGTATGTAGCTCAGTGATACAATCAGAGCTGAGACAAATTACATGTTTGGGCTCTGGAGAAAGCTCAGCAAAACTGAAGGATCATGGGAGCTGAAGTCCAAAACCAAAAAGTTTTCCAGGTCTGGGTAGTGTGGCTGGTTTGTGTGCAGAAGGCCAGCAGGTAAAGGGCTTGGTTAGAAGGAATGGGAATGGTCCAGACTTGAGAATTTGAAGAGCCGCTGCCAGATAAGGAAGAAGGCTCTGGGAGAGGGGGTACAATGGTCTATCGCACCATATGAGAATACATTCGGCTTCTGACTGTCCACGAAAATGTTAAATCTTAAACATTTTTAAAAGGCATAGATTTAATCTGAAAGGCATAGATTTAAGTGTAATTATTGGTCACAGTCAAGCTCAGCTCTTGCACATTTGGAGACTGGGCCAAAATTGTCTGGGAACAGATAAGGCCACCTCGATTGCTAGGTATAGATGGGAACACATGTAGCCTATCACATAAAGGTTTAAATATATATGGCTTTTATTTTCTCTCCTTTATCAGGGGAAAAAAATGTAACTTCTGCACAATACATAATGAAGATGGTCTTTGGTTTTATTTTCAAAATGGAGTCCTTCTCTTCAACAACCCAAAGGCAAAAACAGGCTGAATCGTTGGTTGTGCTTGACTTGTAAAACTGCTGTCACTTTACTGTTGCTTCATCCTTGCTAACAATCTGGCATACACAGGAGCTGAAAGGAAAAAAAGAAAAACAGCAGTCACAGTCATTAAATGTATCCATATTAATCATGTCTACATATCACTGAGACTCACTGAGTCCTGCATGAATTAAAATCAGCATTCATTTATTCCTGCTTCTCCGTCTAATCTGTTCCTTTGGAAAGCTCTTCGCAGCTAAGAGGAAAACAGGGACTTTTTGGGAAAAGATAGAATGGTGTTTATTGTGAACATGGGCTTTAATCATGGAGTAGATGACACATACTTCATTGCAATGGATTTGCAGAGATTTATCAAAAATACAGTATCTCGGCGTCTGCGAGCACTGAGTAAAAGCCACAGAGGTCTGATGTACCCATGAAAATTTACAAGAGCTAATACTAGTATCATTCCCCTTAGAGAAAGCGACAACTCAGCCCCCTGGCCAGGCCTCCCTGTAAACAGAACAGGGAACAGGCTGAGGTATGAGCTAGCTTTTCTGATGCATTCATTTTTAAGTAGAGTTTTCATTTAAAAATGTAAATTTATATATGCATTGATAAGTGTGGGGAAGTATTGGCCTAAATCTACTTGCTTGCCCCAGTTAGAATAGACCCATAGACTCAACGGGGACTTGGTAAACAAATGTTTATGTAAGTTCTACATTGGATCTAGTCCAGGTGGGACTAACAACTGGATCCAGGCCACTATGTGCATTAAGACGTTCTGCTAATCCTCTGCTTCAGATGCCTCTGTCAGACAGCAGATGTATGTCAATAAAATAAACGGATATCTTGTTTGTGGTGTAGTGGAATTCCATCTTGACAGAGCAGGGCTGGGCAAGTTGTGACCCTCCAGATTTCCTCACAACTGGTGATGCTGTCTATGCAACCCACCCATGCTATATAAGCTCAGATGGTAGCCAGATTTCAAACTTTCAAGCACCAAGTTAAATCATTTTTGTTCTCTAGGCACTTAAAGATGCCTTTCAAAGAATTTAAGAGGTTCAGTTATTATTTTATTGCATTGTTGTATTTTTGTATAGTGATTTGATGAAGTTATAAACAGAATGAAACGTGGCTTTATACTGTTTTTAAACACCAAATAAATATTCCAAAATGGCATCCACTGCCAAGTATCCAGAAGTGGCACTGTTCATTCTTCATTTTTACCTCTGTTCTGAGGCACGTGTGACCTGGGTCTTATGCTAAAATCCTGATAGATATTACCCTGCCATAATATCTGAGGTGAGCATTGTGTGGCCCGAGGACTATAGGGATGTCCCCAGGATACGCATGCCCCTTCCCATCATTCCTGTGGCCCTCACACCCAATTTTGTTTTTCAAAAATCCCACTAGAAGATATGAGAGCCCACTTTCAATTAAATAAATTTAAAGAATAATATTTTGGTGGGTGGGAGATTCAGCCACCCAAGATCTAGGGATGGGCTTGTGCAGTCCATGGGCCTCTGAAAATTACCCAACCCTGAACTCAAGGAACAAAGGAGCCCTATATAGAGAGAGAGAGGTTATCAATTCATAAATACAGTATCTGACTCTAGGCAGTTTTGGTTTGTGTTGTTTGTTTTTTTTGTTCTTTTGTTCTATCAGTGAACATCATGCATTTATTATTTTGGCTATTAAAATTTTATGGGAATCTGGTTTTGCCTTCACCTGATGCTGCTTAACTAATCACTAGGTTTGCAAGATCAGATTAAAATAGGCACTGGATAAAAATCCTGATGAATTATACAAAATGATGCAGAGAGGGAAATAAGCCAATGACGTGGTAAGCTGAAAACAAGGTCTACCTCCATAAATTATGAAAAATAAATATTTTGAAGCCTGGACAATGTGTTCCATCAGACTTGTTCCACTGAAGCCCTTTGAACATTGGCTTGGATAGGCGTACCAAGGTGATGCAATCATGACCAAAAACTCAAGACCTGTTTTCTTCATCTAACTTTGATAGTATTTGCCAAGTCTGATGTGACAACAAAGTATGAATTAACCATATTTAGATTCTCAAAAGCTCTATTAAGATAAAGATAAAACAACACCCTGCCAATTTTATTCTACACCATGTTGTGTCTCAACTCTTTGCTGATTGTTTCACAGAGAAAAGCAAGGGAGCCTTAGAGATCTAACAGTATATAAGGTATATTATTAGCATGTCCCTGCTTTGTCTAAGCTATCAGGCAACATCCCCCATCTTTTCAGCATTTCAATTCAGGATCAGGCAGTGAAGCCGCCAACACAGCGTCATGCCAAAAGAGCTTCTCCTGGCTGACACACAATATGCTAGTAAAACATTAATGCACAGATCAAGGGAAGATGTTTCAGTTGCTTAGGTCTTTCCTGCCAAGCCACCCACAAGCAACGAGGCTCCGGCGCTGGGATTGGTAGCTCATAAGGGGTCAACCCCTGCTGTTACTACTTGGATCAGAAGCCACAGTGGATGTTGGGAAGCAACCCCTTGAGAGACCCACCATTTAATTTATGCCAGCATATGTGACATATAAAAATCACTCACCTAGTCGAGCATTCCTCAAGGAAACCTGCCAAAACAGAAAGGCAAAAACAGGTCAACGTCTGTGTTATGTGCATGTGTGCATTTGCATTACAGACAATCTCCCCACACTATTATTATTCTATGTATGGTGAGGTCAACAGTTGGGCCTTAACCCCATGGGGGATATTCCTCAGCCCCTCTCTTAGTGTCTGTGTTGCATCAGTCTTAAGGAAACCTGCCGAATTGAGTCTTGTGCATACCTTGGATAATGCAGAAGCATGCCTGAAGATTTCCATGCCAGGATCTGCAGGCTCATCACTCCGTTCACTGGGTGTCGAAGCTAAAGGAGGACAGAGTTCAAACAATATTAAGCTATTCCTTGCGATCATCATGCGTTGTTCTATCGGAATGTTTTTGCCTAGGTTTTACGTTGTGGGGATTTTGTTTAGCTTTGTTCTGTTTGGTTTCAAACCACCTTCAACACAGGAAAGAAGCAGGATGCAGTTTTCTCAAAATGCAAAGCAGAGAGCAATCCAATATCAACACTATTAAATCTCCTCCTGACCTAATCAGACTTTGCAGCTGCATGCTGAAACCTAGAAAATTCTGCATACTAACCCATAACTTCCCTTAAGAGGTAGGCTTGACTAGATATATTGAATTAATAGCCACTATGAAAGAAATTATCACGTTAACTAGTTCTCAGTCTCCCTCTATTCTACCCACCACCCCTTTGTCAATACAGATATGAATCACATGGGTACTCATCAGGGTAATTATCTAATCCAGGTAATCTGAATAGAATTCATTACATGAGCTAATTAATTGATTGATTGCATTTGATGAAAATGGCAGTTCTTTGCACCAGGCGTGGTGGTGGAGGGGATGAAAATGTTATATTATTGTTTTGAGATACACCACCCCATAGTGCTTGCAGCACTCTCTGTGTGGTTTACGACATAATTATGCAAAGAACATTTTGCCTCCCAGTGAGGTCTGTACTCATATTACCGATCTTGGAAGGACAGAGGACTGAGTCAACCCTGAGCCAACTACCTAAACTTGTCAGGATCAAACTCAGATCATAAACAGAAGCTTGACTGCAGTATTGCAGTTTAACCATGGTGCTCGCTATATGAGGCACCACTATGGAAGAGGCATTTCCCTCTCTTTATTGAGAGAGAAACAAAAATGCCTCCTCCCAGATGACATTGGATGCTTCTGACAGTACTGCCATTAAAAATAACCACAGTTTACAAACAAATTTACAATGAATTCATCAAAGGCACTTCTAAAAATTAATCCAAAGGGTGGGCAAATGTGGTCTTCTAGACGTTATTTTGGTCTACAACTCCCATGAATCCTAGCCAGCAGAGCCAGTAATGACAGATGATGGGAAATGTGGTCCAAAAATATCCAGAAGGCCACTCCTAACATATTTCTGCTGCAATTCAAAGGGGAGAATGAGTGAATAGAAGATGTTAGCTGAGGGCAAGCAAAAGGATTATGGCAAAACATACAAGGATAATACACACGTGAGCTGAGAGGCAAACAACAGTTCAGAAGTTAACCATTGATCTTATTGTCAGTCTATTCTTTCCTCAAAATTAGTGGGGCCACATGTGACACATACAGCAATTGTGAAGGTAAAATCCTTGGCTTCATCTAGCACTTTGATGCAAAAATATCTGAAGGTGCCAAATTGTTACCAAAGAAATAACAATTCACAACATGGTGAAATCACTTTTCTTTATTTTTCCCCTTTTAGCACATTTATTTTTAAAAAACCCAAATTACTACAATTGTTCATACATCCCTTTTACCTCACCTAGCAGACCCTGCAAAACAATTTAAAACAACAACAAATGAAAACCAGAGGTGCAAAAAGTTGCTTTTCCTTTTGTCCTTTCTTTTTCCACGACATGCCAGCTGGATTATTTTGGCAGTTATATCAACAAATCAACACAGAACCATTCCTTAGGGCTGAAACCATGTTACAACTGAGTGAATTATATAGGGGTGGGGGAAGCCAGCATGATTTTCTGATTAAAAAAATCTCTGCAGGTATGAGGCCAGCCTGGCCCTTTTGTGGAGGGAGTTTCCACAGAAATGGCAGAGCATTGCTACAGAAATCACATCAACGACACCAGTCTTCCTTTCTTATTTTAACCTTTATTTACACAGTCAAAACACTTTAATGTGACATGTGTGCCTCTCCTAAATGAGCAAGCACTTTGGAAATAGCTATAATGTTTCTGTAGAAAATAAGAGTCACTTCTTATTTCCTTCTGCACAGGAAATGAACTTCCTTTCACCAACAGACATTTCAGTGCTGTTCCATAATAATCGCATGCCTTTAACTAGGTAGGAAAGAAAGATAAACCTGAGGGAAGCATGAGATCTCTTTTATGCTTGAACCCAGTTTGACTTACCTGGTGGTTGTAAAACAGTATTCACTGCATAGATCACGCCGTTAGTGGCCATGATATCAGCCTCAGCAACAGGTTCCTTATTGACATTTATGACATTGTTTTTCTGAGGTGAAAATATTAGAGATAAATTGTCAGTAGTACATGACGGTAGAAGATCAAAGGATGGTCTTCTCCAAGCTTCACAGAAATTTAGAATGTCAAGAGAGAACTCATTAATTGTAAGGAATAAACATTCCCCTTAACATCTCATTTGATCAAATTTGGATTTAAGTGGACTCAAGAGTTCCTTGTTTTCCAAGCTTCCTTGCTAGTTTATCCTCAAAGCCTGCCCTAATATCCCCTGTACAATTCATACTCTCTGCCCCCCCTCAAGTCTTCTTGAAAGGTGGGTGGGAGACTGAGCCTCAGAACTCAGAAGGACTCTCTGTAATTCTGCAAGACAAGATATGCTTTGCAGGAGAACCCTTAGAATCTGTCTTATATCCCTTTACTGTTAGAAGTGAATTAATGAATTAGGGACTGAAGATTTGAACAGGAGATAACCCTGCCCATATGAGATGAAATACCCCTTTTTGCTCATGTCAAATAACAGCAGAACAAAAGTGTGCCAGCTTGAGGCCCTTTTTTCTTCCTACCTCCTGAAAGGAATATCACAGGATCAAGTTTGGCCTGAACATTGTTGACACTTTTTTGTTAGGAATAGCTATCCTGATGATTCTTTAAGAAAACCTTTAAAAACTTAAAAAGTGATCCTTCATACCAGGAAGACCCAGAACAGCATTAAAAAATATGAGTATATTAAATCTATTTGGGGATAAAGAATTCGAACCAACCATCTGGGACCAAAACCAGATTTTTCTCTAATACTAAGAGTTTAAAACTTCCTTAGGCTCCATATGGTAACATTCAATCTGCTAGGCCCTTGTGGCCTCTCTCTCTCTCTTTTTTTTAACTAGGAAAGGATGTCAATTTGAAAAAAAAAGTACATTGAGCTTGAAAGAAGAAAAGACTAGTGTGTGTATATGTGTGTTTTAATGGATACTAGAGGTTGTAAACTTACAGAGCTGACTTCCAGTTTATCTCCCTGAAGAGACTTCATCCTGACAACAGCACCAACCGCTCCACTAACCAATATTTCATCTCCAATGTGATATTTCAGAATATTGGCGAGTTCATTCGCGTTACCTAGGGTATAACAACAATATGGAAGGATTATAGTTCAACAATTACATTTCATGACATTTAAGAAAGGAAACAGCGTGCTTGGATCTTAAAGCTTGCAATGTTAGAAGAACAATACCATAAAAGTATTTCTTCCTTCCACTGAAAATACACAGCTGTTCCACCGGGGAAAGATTGTAACCATATTTTTTAAATAGCACACTTATGGAGAGCCTTCTGTTTGCTTGTAGATGTTGCTTCCAGCTAATGAATTCTCTCAGCACTTCACAGCTGAAGCATTTTGCACAGCAGGGAATACGGTGAGATACAGCTTCCCTTGCTTTAGTTTTTCAAGTGCAAAAACATGTGATTTGGGTGATCCAAAAGTTTTGGAATAATAGTGCGGAGAATAGTCTGAAGTCTTTACTTTCTCAACAGAGGTGACAGATTCCCATTATGCCCATATTTTACTTTTAAAATATATATCTTTCTTTGACATGATGTCATTTCTTTGAGAAAAAAAAATTCTGCTAGACTCTGCAGCCACAGTGGTCCTTCTGTATAGCTTCTGACGCCTGTACCTCTGTCTGCTTCTTCCATAAACAAAAAGAGCAGGCAGCACTGAATCATAGCAGCTAGCATATAAATCAAGGGATTTGGCAAGCACTTCTTCAAGTGGCCAAAGATCTGCCAGAAGAGAGGAGCTCTGAAATGCTGTCTTTGGAAGTAAATGAAACTGAACCAAATATTAGGAACGTTTTTGATAAGTCTTTATGAGTTACAAGTCTCGTTCTTCATAACTAAATGTTTGAGGGACATTCATATAAGAGGAGAGAAGTGCAAATCCACCACAACGTTGTTCTCCATCTTAACAGTAATAAAGCTGTTTAATCAAACCTCTCATAAGAACACAGGAAGCTACTGTATATTGAGACAGATCCTTGCTCCCCCTGTGTGTGTGTGTGTGTGTGTGTGTGTGTGTGAGAGAGAGAGAGAGAGAGAGAGAGAGATGTGCTGTCAGGTTGGAACTACCTTAAATAGGCTTTCAAGGAGAGGCATTTAAGGAATGCAGGGCATGGATAAAGTGGATAGAGGAAAGCTCTTTTCCATGAATTTCCATGGCTCAGTGGGGGGTTGGATCCCAAGTTCCTGAGTCCTAGTCTGTTACTTTATCCAATACACCAGTTGAGATATCCGTCTAGCCCACCACTGTGGACAATAACTGATAGCAATGATTCCCCATGGTCTCTCCTATTTGTATATGAAAATGCCTGTATTTGAAATGGGAAACTTTTGCAATCAAAGCAGATGCTCTACAGCCAATCTACATCTTCTCCAAGGCTTTACTGAGAAACTGCAGTTCTGGGGTACTATCAGACTTCAGTGGACTTGGAATCACACTTTGAATACTAGGAAAGGCACTTGCATTTTTTACCTCTACAGCCTCTGGCAAACTGTTCCACTAGGGAATAATCAGCAGTTATTGATTTATAGGTCCACTCTCCAGTGTCATGGAAAGCATTGTCCCATCTAAGTCAGCAGGCCTTCTCTTAGTAGGGCTATCATTGGATTTGGATTTGAGCAGTGGTTGGATCTGATGGCCTTATAAAACCCCTTCCATCTCAGTCATTTTATGATTCTATGATTTAGCTCATGATTTTTAGCCGTCTACTATGACTGCTGGTTGCCCAGATCTAGAAACACAGCTAAGCTTTCTCATTCAAAAATAATAATAATACTCTGGTTCAACCAAACACTGGCCACAAATTCTGCCAAAATTTAGCAAACTGTCATTTGCAATTTTTTTTAATCCACAGAGGCAAACAAGGCACATTTTACGATGTGATGTGTGAAATATTCAAAGTGGCATTCACTTTGAAGAAGAAAAAAATGGATTAACCAAAAATCACAGCTGCTGCTGCTGCTGCTTCTCTTCCCCCCCCTTACACAAGCCCTCTCTTTGCTATGTATTCCCACCAACTGTGAGTCATTGCTTTCAGAACAGTAAGCTAAATATTTTGCTTACAAAGCCCGAGAACATCATGACTGTACACATCTGGGATGTTTCAGCTCTGCAGCTGCTTACAGTAGCTACAAATCAGTTATGAAATATTTGTGCATTAAGCAAGAGAACAAGCGTGCCGAGTGCTGTTTGACCAATTGAAAAGGATAACTTGTTCCCATAACCAGAGGTTTCATTACGATGTCCTAAAGTGATTGGGCTTTAACGATGAAAAGACACCGTCCTAACTGTTGCTCGTATTCTTTCAAACCCTTTTTTAAAAGTCCGAGAGAGAGAACGTCTCAATATTTACATGAAAATTTACCAACCGTGTATACATGCCCTTTCCTTACAGGATGGATGGTGTCTACAAGAGCACCATCTATCACAAGAGCCATCCTGAGTCAGACCACTTGTATAATTCAGGGTTATGTCAACAGAATGGGCAATTAGGTACCTTTGGAAAACCCACAAGCAGAACAGAACAGCACCATCACCACTGAAGAAGTATACGTTTGTACAGTAATAAGTAGTAGGCGCAGATAGCTCCAATCTTCCATTAGTATCTTTGTTTCTACTAGTCCAGTAACTAAATCAATCCATTCATCAACATAATCAGATTTTGCTTCTTTCCTTCAATCATTTTGGGTAAGTGTATTAGACACACACATTACATTTTTTCAAGTAACTTAGATCCTTCCATGTTCAAAAGATGGTATCTTTCTTTAGCTGAAAGAAAAATCTATCTTTTTGCTGAAAAACTTTTAAGAACCAGTAGGTTTCTCACTCATTAAATAGATCTGTTATAGATTCTGTTTGTTAGCTTCATTGGGTTCCTTCCATAGTAAAGAAAATAAAATATAAATAATGCTACAAATAAACAAAACAAAACAAATTAGGTACTGCATGTGAGCCATTCACAGGAAGATTTTGGACAGTCCTAGAACTATACAGTTATTGGACTACCTCTTCCAACCTGAAATCTTGACTTATATACCTTTTCTCATCTCTGTTCACTCTTAAATCTGGAGACTGTGGCATATGGGAGATTTGAATAATCTGGACAGGAGGCTATAGGCTAATCACACCACTAAGCACTAGCTCTTTGAAGAATCGGTACAGGGTGCAGTAAGCAGTTGGATGTTAAATATTTGAAGAAGTCAAGTTATAACCAGGAAAAAGTGATGAGACTACCACTTTTCATAAGTATAAAAGGACAGTGGATTGCTTGGTATACATTATAAACTACCCCGTTTCCCTGAAAATAAGACAGGGTCTTTTATTAATTTTTGCATTTGGGCTTATTTTCAGGGAATGTTTTATTTTTTTCATGTACAACAATCTACTTTTATTCAAATACAGTCATGCCATCTTATTCTGGTTGCTGCACAGTGGTGGAGGGCGGGGTTTCACTTAACTGGGGCTTATTTTGGGGGTTGGACTTGTATTACGAGCATCCCGAAAAATCATACTGGGGTTTATTTTCAGGTTAGGTCTTATTTTAGTGGAAACAGGGTAAGCCCATAGGATGCCTCTCCGAGAACAACATTTCAGCCAGTAAATAATGATGATGGAACTGTGTCACATTTAACGCAGTAAGATCAATGGAATGCTCCCTTCCCCTTATCCTCCTATAGCATTAATTTCTTGTTCCCTCAAATCCGTTTCAAAATGTTGACCAGTCCTGCTTCTCATGCTTCGCAACTAAAGATCTAACTGCATACCACCAGTTTTTAACAGCGTAGTAAAAAAGGGTGTTTTTGTGCTGAGACAGGGGAACCTCTTACCAGCCCAGTTATGTCCTAGCTATGAATAATAGTTATAGCATACAATTCTAGCATGCACAGGGGGAAAATTGCAACTTTCAGGAATTTCTTTAAAAACTAATACATAGGAATAGAGGAGACTAACAAATTGATTGTTGGGGGGGGGAAGGTCTGATAGAGTAGATAAATTAGTTCTGCACATTATTTTTCTAATAACATCAGGGAAATGTGAATGCACTTTTGTGACTTATAGTTTCCATCCCATGGGCATGCAGACCAATTCAAACTGAGTATTTTATGAAGATCCTTTACTGAAGAATAAACTATAAAACGATGGGACCATCAAATATCCATCAACATGATCCCTGGATATTTACCCATAAGTTTCCTCAGCTCCCCTTGAGGAATGGCTCGGAAAGCTTCATTTGTTGGTGCAAACACTGTGAAGGACTTTGGCCTGTTCAATGTTTCTGTCAGACCTGCAGATTGGATGGCAGCCACAAGAGTGCTGTAAGAAAGCCACACAGACACAAATCCAATGGTTAGTTATCATAGTTTTCTTCCAAAGAAGAGTTCACAACTACAATACATGAGCCCCAGTCTAAGGCTTCAGATGTGTTCTGGTGGAGTCCTGAACAAGTTGTCTACTCCACTCACTTCCTAAGAAGCTACAACTCTGTGAAACACAACCACTTGCATTGGAACTTGCAGCCAGGATCTATTGGTGTGCATCTGCTGGATCCCACGATTTCCTCTGGGGCCAACAATCTTCTCTCCACCTTCTGTAGTCCTCTGTGTATGCTAAATAGAGTTGGAAAAACCCCTCCGGAGGATTTTAGGTCAACATGTGGGATTGAAACAGGAAGTGGAGGAGAAGGAAGTTCTCTACATGTTGGATCTTATGGTTGGACTGCAACAAGGAGCTTTAAAAACAAGTAAGGAACACCGAGTCTTGAAAGGAGGATGTTGATCTAGGCAGACTTTTACATTTAGCCTCTCTATAACAATGGCTCCACTTAGAGCAAAACAATAGCTTGAGTGATAAATCTGCCTTCATGTAATACAGGTTCGCTCAGCTTCTAAGGGCTTAGTGGGAGGACTTAATTATCACTCATTCTAAATCTGAAAAATGGAATAATAAATCTATTTGCTTTTACTTTTGGGGAGAAAAAAATTAAAGAACATTGCAGATAATATCTAATTTAACTGCAGTGCTTGTTTGTGTTCCCCTGACTTTCACAAAGTGGATATTTGAAGAGGACCTTCTTTTAGTCTCACATCAAATTAATTCCATCTCTCCAATCATTTAAATTAAAAGGCATTTTTGAAAGATAAACATTTTTACTAGATACCTGAGGTTGGACATCCAATGTCATCAAGTTAGGATTTCCTTTCCTCTAAAGCCTAGATTTTTTTTTTTAAGTTCCAGGATGGCTCAAGGAATTGCAGACCCTGATGTCCTAAACATCTGAAGGGTCAAATATAGATAACTACAAATCTAAAGGGTTACCTTCACCCACATGAACCTGCCTAACATTTAAGATTGTCTTCTCTTATCAAGCCTGGCTTTCTCATCTCCTTTGAAATCAAAATACCAAGGACAGGGCTTTTACTGCAGTGGCACCTTGTTGTTGCAGAATATCCTCTCTGAGGAAATCTGGCAACAATCCTTTTTTAAATGTAATTTAAATTTTTTTTTAAAATGCAGAGATGGACATGTTTTGTGACTCTCAGCTCTCTGGTTTCCTCCTTTATTTCTGGCTCAAAAGAAAAACAGGCATTGGAAGCATCTAGCAGTGGTGATTCACCCTTCATATTGGGCAAAACTAGACATGAACCTCTAACCACTTCCCATTTCTTTCTCCTTATTTTTTTATTACTTTCTTTGCATTTGGGGTTGGAGGGGCTGGTTCTGTTTGCACACACACAGGAGGGTCCCAGAGATGAAATGGGTTCTGGATCCATCAAAGTTCTTTAAGAATTGTTGCTAACTGATACTTACAAATGCTTTTAGCTTCTCTCTCTCTCTCTGTGTGTGTGTGTGCGTGTGTTTTAAATACATCTTATATTACTGCTGAAATTTTTTTATTGTTATATTCATGAAATTGGCATGTGCGAAGACATAGGATATACATCCATGACAGAAACACATTTTACAAAGCAATGCGGCGGAGGAGGTGTTCTCGTTTCTGTGCTCTTTTGCACAACTGTGTGCAGCAACAGCCAAGAGAGTTCAGGGAATGGGAGGCCAATGTGCACTTCATATCTCTCTATTCAACTGCCTCTCACTCTGCTCTGAAAGTTCACTCAGGACTTGAGTGTGTCCCACATTCTGAACAGGCAAGCTGTTGGAAGAGGTGGGGGTGCACATATAGGCTCCCCTTTTCACTCTTCTGTTTTGAGATACTGTTTGTGCTTATACCTGCAGGGAGAAACAGGGCATTCTTGACTACTTGGCAATCTTTCCACAAGTATTGTGTCCTTATTCACTGGGGAACGTTTAGCCCTTCTCCTGTCACTGAACAATGATTCCCACCAGCACAACATCTGGAGTGCAACCCCTGATGCAGGGAAGGGTCATACTTGTAGCATTATAGTGCTATTCAGACTAGATAAATAGTAAGTCAAGAGCAATACTGTTAAGAGCCACTGCTCAGCAGGACAGCACATCCTTTGAATGCAGGAGATTCCAGGTTCAATCCTGGGGCTGAGGGATAAATAATCATCTGGCAGATCCTGCCAAATCAGTGCAATCAATTTAACATGTACTACGCAAAATGGACCATGCTCACTTGGTGGAATCCTATGTTCTGCTTACGTATCAAAAGCAAATCCTTAAAATCAGATGACTGACATGGAAATATTGACAGGTGTTTAGATGTGTTAATGATGAGCTCCACCAAAAATGTCCTCGCTGAAGCAAGGCTACTCATGTTACTCCAATATCCTCACACTCATAGTCACCGTTACCTGAAGCGGTCATCTGCTTTGAGCACATCCATCACGGTTCCAACAGGAGGTGTCAAAAACTTATCTACGCTAAACAAGGTGCCAAATCTTCCTCTCTTGTCATGGGCAGCAATGCAGGCATTTTCAATGCACAAATTCTACAAGAAGGAAGGCATTTTATTATTTCTTAAAAGGTAAAATAAGTCTGAGAATATTACATTTCCACAGGCCAGGTCCACATGTAACAATAGGCCAGATAGTGGTTTGCTGTCACCTCCGTGGTTGTTATTCTTGTATCCAAATCTGCATCCACAAGCAAGGCTTTAAACAACGTCTTCACAGTTATTGTTTTGTTTTGTTTTGTTTGGATTTGGAAGCATTTAGAGCCATCTGTGTAGCTACACATACCTGCCAAAACTACCCACTTTGCCTTAATATGGCAGGAAAATTTAGCAACAGGGAAGGTAAAGGAAATCTGGGACCATATGGCATTCTGAGAAAGTGCTTGGACACCACCCAACTCTCCCAACAGTTCAGTGCTACTTGAAAATGTCTTCCAAATGAGGAAAAAACCCAGCTTTTTTCATTCTCACTCAAACAAAAACAAAAAAGTCAGTGCTAGGTATCAGGCAGATTTTAGTTGGTGGAACAGGATGAACTGTGTCCAAACCCTTGCTCTCCTATGAAGTCACTGTCTGGGTGATGTTGGGCTTAGTCAGCTTTGGAGGATTGTTCTGGAGTGCAGGGAGGAAGAGCCTCATGGACGCTGCTATAGGTGGCTGGGGTTTAAAAGCAAGAAGCAAACTGTCAAAACTCCAGCACAAAAATCCAGAACTTATCTGTGATCTGCACCTCAGAGTTATATAATATACACCTTTAATTTTAGAGCATGAATTGTCAGACTGGGAGTAATTGTCAAATGGAAACGTACATTGCGGTACACAAAAACTCTTAGTTCTTTGCCACTCAGAGTTTCTAGCTTCTGTCCATGGAAAAGGTACTTGGAGGAATGCTGGCCTTTCACAATGTGATCACGGAGCAAGTTGCGATCTGTTAATGGAGTCTGGTCTACAGGACAAAACAGAATAAATGTTGATTAAAAAAGCATCTGTGCAATTAGATCCTCTGTTGCTTGGCACCAGCAATTGCTTTCTTTTCAAAATATATGAAGAATTTCTGGGGGGCGTGGAGGTGGGCAGGGTAGAATCAATGTCTGCAACCCATTTGGTGAAAGCTATATAAACACTGAAATTTGCTGATGGAACATTATGATTCACACTGGTGTCATCCACATCCATCATTCTGATAGTTCTCAGAACTAAGATCGACAACAAATGGGCTTAAATTCCCAAGAGAAGAGAATGCAGTCCCATTCACACCTATTTTTGCTTGCCAAAGACACCAACATAATCTGGCCCATATTCAGAAAGTATTTCCATCTATAACTAGCTTTAAAAGGGAAAGTGAGGGAAGGGGAATTCTACTTTAGTCAATCTTTTCAAGTACAGTGGTGCCTCGCTTAGCGATCGCTCCATTTTACAGCAAAATCACTTAGCAATGGACTTTTTGCCATTGCCAGAGCGATCGCTTAGTGATGGCCCCTATGGGTAAAAATCGCTTTGTGATTATTGTGGGGACGTGATCATGGCAAAGCACCAATTTTTAACAGCTGATCGGCGGTTCCAAAATGGCCACCGGAAAAACAAAATGGCAACCACTGTTTTGCCTCGCTTTAGAGGCACCCAAAATGGCCACCGCTATGGAGGTTTTTCGCTTACAGGTAAGTTTTTAGCCCATAGGAACGCATCAAACGTGTTTTAATGTGTTCCTATGGGCTTTTTAAAATCGCTTAGTGATTAAATCATTTAGTGACTTTTTTTTTCCTGCATGGATTAACGTCACTAAACGAGGCACCACTGTATTTCTGTGCAGTACTAACCATCTCCTTTGCAGCCCTTAGTTCAAAAGCCTAATTATCATGGCTCTGCCACAACTCCCTTCTCTCATCTCTAGTCACAGTGATACCAAAGATCAGCAATTTTTAGAAGCCATTTAGGACTTCTTTGGGTAACACAACTAATAAAAGAAACCCAGAGCAGCCCCATATATAAAGAGCATCAGTGAGAGCAAAGTTATGCTGATGCATGAGAGCTATAAACATGAATACATCAAACTCTTAACTAAAATTTCAACTGATGAAACAAATGTTTAATAAATCTGAATAATCCCAAAATTTATATTGATTTATTTATATATGTTTGTGACTGAAGGACACTCAAGATCCAACTGAGTGAATAAAGGTTTCCATTCATTTTTAGAAAAGGATGCATCTCTTTCCTATTTTCATATCTCATTCTCTTTTACACAGTGAAGCACAAAAACCAAAACAGCCTCAAAATAATCAACAGAGGTGACCTTAACTTCCAGCCTTACCAATGAAAAAGGGACTCCCAGAAGTCAGTTTATATACATCCAAGGGCGAGCTTCATTTGTGAGGATGTAATTGATTGAAATTTGCAGTTCTAGTTATAGGCAGATGACATTTGTACATGAGTTCTAGGACTTACCTTTGTAGAAAGAATTGATGGGCACCAGGAGTGTCAGTCGCTCCTTGCCAGTGAGATAGGAACCGAGACCAGCTTGTCTAAAATTTTCAACAGACATTGAAACTTCGGATTCCCTACCCAACTCCAACAAAGTTTTGGCTTCGGTTATAAAATGACAAAATAAGAAAAGAAAAAGGCTGTCAAATTTCCCAATTATATTTTTCATTATTGAAGAAGTAACTAAGGAATTCTCAGAGGGTTTTTAATTCCTAAACTAATAGATGCAACTAGAAATACGCATTTTAAAATGGACAGCATACATTTTAAAAGTAATAAATATGTCAACTGTACTCTTTTAATGCTTTATTTCACATCACCATTTCAGATATTCTCTCTCAGTTTTCACCCTGTTTTGAGGTTCAAAGTTTGCCTTCCCTTCCATTAAAAATAAATATATAAATTGTATTTTGTATATTTTTCTTTCAGATTTTTTTTAAAAATAAAAGAATTAATTTCCTTTTTTTAACAGTGCCAAGTTTAACGGTACGAACGAAGGAACTGGAAAACAAAGTACAATTTTCAATGAAATGAATGGTATAGTCTGGAATATCTATTAATGATAAGTTAACATGTAAGAAAGTAAAGAAGGATTTGATAAATAGTATTTGTACAGATATCTGGGGAGCATTTATCAATTCTGTATTAATAAAGGGAGAATTTTGAGCACCTTTGCAAGAGACAATGCAGTTTTGGAAGGGGGAATGAGGTTCCATAAAAGGAAGAAAAAATGGTTATATCTCCAAATGGTCTGGGGGGCACATTTTGCATAATTTTATTGTTCTGTATTATTAAGTTCCTTAGGTATATATGTTATTGTTTTTATATTTGTTAAGTTTAAAAAATAGCAAAATACATGTTAAACCATGCTTCTTTCACACTCAAGACTGAATATGTGAAATGGCATCACTTAACTCTTCATACATTTGCAGAAAGCAGTACAATTCAGGCTGATTCAGCATCATTTGTTTTATGTTGGTCAGTCTGGACAGCATGCTGCATTTTGAAGAGGGAAAATAAATGTTGCAATGAAAGGGAATAAAAGTATTACCTGAGTCTGGGATGAGTAGTTCATTGACATAGTGTATCACACCATTGGTTGCTATAACATCCTTGTTGGCAATGATGGGCCTCCCATTGAGAGTTAGCTCATCGCCGTTGCAGCCAACTTCCAACATGTTGCCCTCGAGGGTTTCCATGGATAAACCAGCAATGATCGCTTCAGCACACATGGCAGATTTCAAAATATGGTTGCTCAACAGGTCTATATTGGGAGGTAAGGGACCGTAAAAGGCAGATCTAAAGCAGCTTGAAAATTACCTCGGATATGTCAAATACTATGACATGAAAATAAACCACCAACACCCCAAAATGCTTGATCTCTTCCCCACCCCACCAAAAAGCAAAATAATCCAGTTAGAAGTTCTTATATACAGCACGCTGGTTTAGGGACAACTCAGTACTGTACAGAAAGAGACGCAAAGGGCAGCTCATAGTTTTTGCGTATAAGGTGTGAATGGCCAAAAGGAAAGGGAAACTTCCTCAATGGGGTCCTGTACTCAAAGGAAGCCTGTACTCCTGATAAATGTACAAAATATTTCTTAATATTTTATATATATATTCTCCCCTTTAAAGGTATGGATACCTAGCTTAGTTAAAAAGCTGACTTTTTTGGATTACCATTCCCAAAACCCACCAACTCATATGGCCGGTGAATGTCTGGAGACTGGAGATGGTTTAATCTGAAACAGTAACTCTGCTTGACTGTAATATATTTCTTTCTGCTTTGGAAGCAGACTTTTCTTTTCAAACCAGCTTGCTAGGGCAGGTCACAGAGACCACACGGGTGCTCATCTCGTATACCATTCAAAGTGCTGACCAACCTGGTAATTGCTCATCTGGTTCCGGCTACAAAATGCTGACCATTTAGACTCCTTGTCTGCCTTCTGGCTAATGACTCAGTGCTGACACTGCTTCTTTTTCTTCCCTTTGCTGGCTTCCTCTCTGCAACCTTACCACCATAATAGCAACGATATGCCATGCAAACTCAGGATACAGCAGTGGGGAGTGGGGCCTGCTTTCTGTGCACAGATGTCCTCCTGCCTCTGCCGAGGGCAAAAGACTTTAAAGAGTTAAGGAGAGCAAAAGACCCTTTTAAAAAAGGGGGCTGCCCTTCCCAACTCTTAGTGGCCAGGGGTATCAGAGGTGGACTTTTCAGTGAAGTGGGAAACTATCATTCCCAGAATTCCCCGGCCAGCATAGCTACTGAAAGTAAGCAAAGCGAGACCTGGCCATCAAGGGGCTCTGATATCAGATCACTGTTCCCAACTTCTGAAGGCTGGAGCACATGGAGAAAGGCCTCTGAGCAAAGTCTCCAGGAATGGACAGGTGGCTATGGCGGTCCATCAGAAACATTCATCTCAAAAAACATTATGTGGAATTATAGCCCAAAATCATTGCCAGCAGTTCTCACAAAAAAAGCCAACAGGAAAGCTGGCACAATCCAAGCAGAAGTATGAGACCTTTCATAAAACATTTGGAATGAGCGTGTGCCTCACCTTGCCGCCCAAGGGGAACTGTGTATGACACCCATATACTAGAGACATGTTGTGGCTGCTTACCTTTCAGAGCTTCTGGGTCTCCCAGGATTCTGTTTAGAGTTTCTTGTGGTATCTTTGCAAAAGCTTCATTGGTTGGTGCTAACAAAGTAAACTGCCCCTCGCTTTCCAAAAGATTATTGAGTCCAGCTGCTACCACAGCAGTCTTTAAAGAAATACCAAAGAAACAGAGTGAATCCAGTAAGGGTATGAATTTTAGGGATACCCAAGAAACTGACCACACCTTAAACTGATATTGGGAAATACATTGCAGCAATCCAAGGTGGACTTACCCTGAGAGTGTCAAGGCTTTCTTCAATTTCAACAATCTGCATGATATTGTTTGTTGTTGTGGAAATGACTTTGTCTATCAGATGGACCACCCCATTGGTTGCATGATGGTCAGCCTTCAGTAGCCTAGCACAGTTCACTGTCACAATCTGGAAAAAGCAAGGGTCAGAACAGTGAAAACAAGAAAGATGATGGTGTAATAATAAAATGTTGATTTATTTGGAGAATTGTACGGCTTATTATGTGTATCATTATGCCTCTGTGTTCTTATTAAAGAGAGATTGATTTCTAATTATTGTGTGGGGAGAACTGCAAGAGACACTTAGAGGAACCTGCTGTTCACGTTTTAATCAAACAAACCAACAAACAAGGAAACACATAAACTGAATACTCTTATTCATAGGATACTTCTAATGCAATTTTCTCTGCTCAGGGAAGGACACCCAGGCACATGAAAAGAACTATGAAGGCAGCATGACAGCTTCATTCATTGCTGCTACTTCATACTATTTATATCATGTCTACCTATACACTTCTCAGCAGACTGAAAAATACGTGGCTATTCAGATACAGTGGTGGCTCGCAAGATGATTGCCTCACGGGGTGAAAAACCCGCAAGACGATTGCTTTTCGTGATCCCTATGGTGCTTCACAAGACTTTTTTTTCTATGACCATGCTTCGCAAGGTTTTTTTTTTTTCGAGCCCGATGCTTCGCAAGACGAATAAATTTCATTCATCTTGCGCGGTTCCCATAAGGAACCGCACAAGACAATTTTTTCACAAGACGACTATTTTCATGGAATGAATTAAAATTGCCTTGCGAGGCACCACTGTATTTGTTGTACAACTACTCCCATCATCCCCAGCCATAGGCTATGCTAGCTGATGGAGGATGCAATCGGACATTACAGCTATTGTTTCCCATCCCAAATGAGGCCCAATACATCTCTAGATATTCAAGCATTTAAAATAAGTGAGCTTTACACTGTACCTAATTACTGTCAAAATTCTCTGACCCTAATCAAGCGAGCTGCGTAAATAACTACAAATACTCAGTGGGACTTTGCAGTTTTCTCAATCCAAAAAGAATCCCAAGAACTGCTTGTTGAAGCCACTAATGATACTCCAAAGTTCAAGTCACTGGAGAGTGGACTACTATGGGCTGTGTTCTGCTTATTTGGATCAATTCACCCCCTGGGTTCTCAGAGCAATCTTCTGCAGTGAATCCCAGGAAAGGATAAGAAAACCTAATTCTATGAGCTTCATTTTTGCTTCGTTTCCAACACCCAAGACAGAATAAGCAACTTTTTGCTATACCCTGAGATATTTATGGGCCTGTCTACACTTTACAAGCAGCCATAGGAAGGCCACTTGAACCTGCTTCTGCATATCAGGAATTCCATGTGACAGCTATATAATGTAGACTGGCCTCTGGTTTGCATCACCCACCTTAAATGCTGTGGAAAACCCACTTCATATATATACACCTGCTGAAACAGTTAATTTGTTCTTACAGCCAACTCATCTAAAACAGTAAGAAAATAATAAATCCATCCCATGTTGGTTACTTTGCCAAGAAAAATCTCACAACATTGCCATCTGTAGCTTGGCTAAATACTCACTCCATTTGGATAATGGTGGATCTGGAGATCAATATTTTGGTACATTGAAGGCAAAGAGATTCCATGCTTCAGTTCATCAGTTAGGAGTCGCTTATTCACCATATGGTAGCGAAGAGCATTTAACAGCTCAATGTTAACATTGCTTACCAAGGAATCCAATGTTTCCTGAGAACAAGAAATTCAACCCATGAATACATTCTGTGGAGCCTATTTTCTCACCTTCAGTGACTGATCAAAGCAACTATCCTTGACTATCTCTTTGTCTGACAGGATGAGGGAAAGTGGAGCCAAAGCTGCACCAGTTTGTCCATAGTGTAGGGATGGAGGACTCTCTCAGAGAAGTCACCAACAAGTGTTAATGCGTTTCTTGAACTACACTGTCTTACAAACAATCCCAAGATCAAGGGTAGAGGGTCTGTGGACCTCCCAGAAATCTACCCAGCACAGCCAATGGTTGTATCGACCAGGATATTCTGGGAATTGTATTCCAAATGGGGAACCTGTCCGAGCTCTGATCTATTATTGGATGGCTACAGGATAACCATAAACAAAGAGGAGCTGAAATTAAAACATAAGGAGGAGTATTCTTGATAGAGAGTTGCATAGAACAAAGGATACACTGGGAACTCTGACTGATAAAATGTTTTGTTTGCATTGACTCCATATAGCAAAAGCTTCTGCTGCTTCTTACTGTGCACTTCCCACTGTGTGGTTAAATAAGTTCTATCTTTCATTATCTCTTTGCCCATTCAAGTTCAAGAAAAAGAAGAAGCTTTCTTTATTCTTACAGCAGGCAAGGATGCCCAGGCTTCATTGGTTGGGGCAAAAATCGTGTAGCTCCCGGGACCTGTGATTTCAGCACTCAGATTGGAGCTGAAGGAGTAAAGTTGAGTGGTGGTGGCCCCAACAACTCCAAGTGTCTCATAAAGATTTGCAAGAGGCAAAGCTGTTAAAAACAAGCACAAAATTTCACTTCAGCAACACTGCAACATCATTTTTTACTTCACAGTTAAAATAAGAGAGGAGGATCGGACACAAAGCTCTTGAAATAAATATAGGACAATAAGAACTGTGTAACATTTATCAATAGCCCATCAATACATACAGTGGGGTCTCTACTTAAGAACGTCCCTACTTAAGAACAATTCCACTTAAGAACAGCTCAATTTGCTAAATTTTGCTTCTACTTGAGAAGAAAAATCCAGATAAGAACAGGAAAAAAAAACTTTCCTGCTCTTTTTTTAACCTTAGGTCATCTTAGGTTAAAAAAAAGTTCTCCCCCTAGTGGTAGAGTACGTATTAACCAGCTTTGCATTAGTTCCTATGGGAACTAATGCTTCGATGTATGAACGCACCTCTACATAAAAAAAACAGCCAGAACGGATTAATTGGTTTTCAGTCCATTGCTTCAAAATTAGCTTCGTCAGAAGTGCTTTTAACACTGTTTCCTGAGCTAAGGGAAAAAAAAGAAAAAAATCCCCCTCTAGTGGTAGAAGGCGGAATAGCAGCTTCCCATTAGTTTCTATGGATGGAAAAGAGCAGATACAGATTAAATGGGTTTCAATGCATTCCTATGGGAAATGCAGATTCTACATAAGAACTTTTCCACTTGAGAACCACCTTCCAATACGGATTAAGTTCTTAAGTAGAGACCCCACTGTATCTGGATCTATAGATATACAGCCAGTATAGTACAATGGATAGTGTGTTGGACTAAAACTCAGGAGATCTGGATTCAAATCCCTACTCAGCTGTGTATACTCAATGGGTGGCGGTAATGGTAAAACCACTGCTTAGTATCTCCTAGATCTTGGAAACCTTACCAAGGTACTGTAAGTCTGAATTGACTTGATGGTAGACAAGAAGCTGTTTTGGTCATGGAGAAATGCAATGGAGGAACACATTGCCCTTTCTCCACCCATTATAGTCCAATTACAATTTATCCAACCAAGTAGCTTTCCTGCCTATTGACTGCCAACTATCTATTGGCCTCTACAACCACATATCTGAAACCCTGGAGCTGGCAGCAACCATCCACATTTAGGAGGTGATATCAAGAAGACTACATGCTCTAAGACAATCCACATTGTGATATGTAAACACAGATGCTGGAGATTAAAAGAGCCGGCACTTGTCCTTGTACTAGACAAGGAGCTTATTGGCTCTTTGCTGAAAGCTACCTAGGAGGTACTGTGGATGAACTCCGATATATACCAGCATGCCAACCATTTCATATTCATTTAAGACTTGATTTTACTTTAGTTTTCTTACCAGCTGGGCAGCCTTTTTCTCCAGGAACCTCTTCATAACCTGGGCAACATTCATATGCAATCACCCTGCAATAAGAAAGAACACTTACTATCAAAAGACACAATTAATCAGAATTCAGGCTATCTGTTTGTCAGTACACCATCTAAACAAACCACCTTTCTCCAAACTGTACCCTGCCTGATGTTTTCACTTACAACTCACATAATTCCTGACTTTTGAATATACTAAGTGGGGCTGATGAGAACTGTAGGCCAAATCTCATAAAGGGCTTTAAGTTAAGGAAGGATGAATGTGACAGCTCTGAAGTTGAAAAACATTTTTAGAAATATAGAATGGTTGTAGGTAGAAATTCCTGTATTTGAATGGTCTTCCCGTGGGGCCTGCTTATGCTGGCAATTATGCTGGAGTGATTAGAGTGTCAACAGCACAGTGCACCCTAATTATGAACTGCATGATAATCACATGGGTTTAGATCCAACTGGTAGTTCCAGCCAGAGTAAACCCACTGGTCTAATAAGATTTACATTCAGTTTTGACTTGCCATTTATCAGTTGATTCAATTAATCTATTTGCGTTGGGACTAGCCATGGTATTTATATCTAGTTTGATCTATGCTCTGCACAATTTGCTCTACATAGGGCTACAAATAAAGACAACTTGGAAGACCAGAGCACACAGTACTACTCCTGTCCTCTGAAGATGCCGGCCACAGAGACTGGCAAAATGTTAGGAAGAACAACCTTCAGAACACGGCCAAAGAGCCCAAAAAACCCACAAGAACCACAACTTGGAAGCTTCAACTGGTACAGCATGTAGCAGCTAGGCTACTGACAGGTGCCTCACATTGCAATCTTATAACACCTATTTTGTGCCAGCTATTCCGGCTGCCAATCTTGTTCTATGTTCAGTTCAAGATGCTAGTTATTATCTTTAAAGCCCTACATGGCTGTGGACCCATACATACCTCTAACCATATGAATCCTTGTGCCAGCTGTGGTTGTCTAAGATTCCCCTTTTACAGTGCCAAGGAAGAGATCCTTTCATAATGTTGCCCCTATACTCTGGAACTCACCTCCTGAGTCCTTTGCAGGGGGTGGGGGTGGGAAACAAGGCAGCAATGTTTCAGCAAGCTTTTAGCTGCTAGTTATGGTATCTGGGTTTCCAACATGATGCGTTGATATATTTATGCTTTCTGAATTATTATGTCTACTATGTTTTCTTTTCTTAATCATGTTAGCAAGCAGGGTCACTTGAGGTCAAGGGAAGAACCCATATGCCATTTGGTGTGGTTCTCGCACCTAAATGGCATATCAACCTCAAGCCATTCTCCCTGCTTCTGCTGTCAAGTGTCAACAGAACACTTCCCCCTTTCAAATGAACACTTGTCAATTGAAAGGGACAAAAAGAAGGCAAGAGACATTTAACAAAAAAACAAAAAAACAAAAAGGATCGGTACGACAAAGCTGCAAAGGAGCACCTTCTTTGTGGTGCAAGAAAGACAGAAAGAAGATGGTAAAAGGGAGCCCACCAACTAGAAAGCCCCCTCTCTCTTTCTGTTTGGAGACATAAAAAAGGGAGCAGAAAAAGGAAGGGAAGGAAGACAATCAAGGGGGGGGGCGGCACCAAGGCAGAAGTTAGGAAAACTCCCTGCTCCTCCTAACTGCTGTACCCCTCCCTCCCCCCCTCTCCCCCTCCCTCTCCCTCTCCCTCTCCCTCTCTCTCTCTCTGTGTGTGTGTGTGTGTGTGAGAGAGAGAGAGAGAGAGCACTGAGCAAAGTGATATACAAAGTGGGAAGAAGGCAAATGACTCCAACAGCCATCAGAGGAAATCATTGAGAAGAGGCATCATATTACTAGAGATCCCAATAAACCATCCAATTAGAAGTGAATTTACTTTTTTTTGCCTATGCTAGAACATCAGCCGTGCAGTGAACCACTTTGACTAGTTTTTTTCTCTTTTACTTGTGTGTAATGCCAATTGGCAAACTGTCTGCAGCTTCAGCAAAAGCAAAGAATTTTAAAAAATAATCTTAAGCGATTGAGTATGACAGCAATAGTCTAGAAGAGTTAATAATAATAATAATAATAATAATAATAATAATAATAATAACACAACAACAACAACAAACAACAAACAACAAACAACAAACAACAAACAACAATTTCAATTTCCCTGCCCCACCACAGAAGAGCTGGGGAAGTGTTCAATTTGCCCATATCATTGGTTATTAAGCCACCTGTCAATATTGGAAATTGATAGTGGAAGGAGCCTTGGCAGCTTTAATAGCTGTAAGGCTTGATTTAATCCATTCCCAGCAATTTCATTCACTAGGAGCAGAGTAAACTAGAGGGCACCCACCCACACCTGGCAGGGACTTTAAAAGGTTGGGGTGCTCTGGAGGCAAGTTGGTCCACTCTAGTGCTCACTGGAAAAAAAGAGTGAACCAATTCCCCCCACAACACACCAAAAAGTGGGACAAATGACTGTCTGAACGAATTATATGTAAATGTATGTTAGGCTGTCTTCCTACGTTGCCTGAGTCCTGTTGTTGTTGTTGTTGTTGTTGTTTAGTCGTTTAGTCATGTCTGACTCTTTGTGACCCCATGGACCAGAGCACACCAAGCCTGTCTTCCACTGCCTCCCAGACTTGGGTCAAATTCATGTTGGTCGCTTCGATGACACTGTCCATCCATCTCATCCTCTGTCGTCTCCTTCTCCTCTTGCCTTCACACTTTCCTAACATCAGGGTCTTTTCCAGGGAGTCTTCTCTTCTCATCAGATGGCCCTGCTAGCCCTAACTTACCTAATCATGAGGGCACCAAAGCTTCATTACAGTCTCCCAAATTTAAAACATGTACATCACTACATTTTGAGTCTCTTGAGGAAACAGCAGACCTGTTTGGTAACAATCTCTGGTACATAATCTTAAAGGAATGAAGTTGCAAGTGCTGTGCTTTGTTAGCAGATTATGCTATTTTGGGAACTACTGGGCATGTAGACCACATTTAATCACTGTTTGGATAACACTGTAATTCCATTATGTTTATTATTTTAACAAAGCAACCTCATGTTTTCTCCCATCAGAACCCGTCTTATAATAACAATTCTCCTCGAGACACACTTTTTTGCTTTCTTGGATCCAAAATGAAATAGAAGTTTCAGTCTGCAACACTCGGAATTTATCCCTTGCATTATTCATCTCTCTTCTGTATTTATATAAATAAGCTCTGGGGACATCTCAGCTGTATTACTAACAGCTTGATAATGCAAAGCAACAAATGGACCTCTGTGATATAATGCAAGCAGTTAAGCCAATTAGTTATGTTTTGAGACTTTATAGAGAAGGGGGAAAGGAAATGTTGGCCAACTTCAAACTAATAAACCATCCAATATATTTCATAGTTGGTGGCTGTTCCTTTTTTCTGCTTCTAAAAGGCTGTTAAGTCATAGCAGTAAACTTTAAATTAATTATCCTACAAACCATGTACAAGCTTTTAAAAAAGACAACACTTCCATTTGATCACAATTTCTTAAAAGCAAATAAAGACTGGACCTCAAAATCCATTATGTTGCATATGGTAGCATCACAATTCTTTCTCTCACAACCCTCGGTGTCACAAAAGAAGGTTTTTCAGCCCCCTGAAGACTGGGGAGCTGTGAGACAGAAGGTGAATTATATCCCCATCATCCATTCTTGTGCAAACTGAAGTCCAGTGCTAATTGCTTTCTTTTGAATAAGTGCAACAGGCAGAGACCTCCCCCCAATATTTATGCATTTTAAAAGAGAATAGCTGTTTATTGTGTTTTTATCCCACTTTTCTGTCAGAAATGGAACTCAAGGCAGCTCACAAAAAGACGGTATTTTTAAAAGTGCAGTTAAAACACGAGTTCAAATATTAAAACACTATTTACAACAGTTCAATAGACAGCTCAGTGGTTTAGGCATCTGCCTGCAGAGCCAGAAGTTGGGAGATCAATTCCCCACTGTGCCTCCTTGACAGGGGCTGGACTCAATGATCCATACGGTCCCATCCAACTCTGCAGTTCTAAGATAAGGATGAGGATGAAAATACAGCACCTATCAAGGAAAAAAAAGTGGAAAGCATTGCGACTACACTCAGGCACTCCCTGTGCAATGGTGTGTAGCCGGCCAATCCTTTACCTCCAGAAGCCTTGCCCTTCAAATTTGCTGTTGAGCAAAAGGACCCAACAATCCTTTGGGCACCCCCCCCCCAAAGGACAATTCTTTCTAACATTTTAATGTGCTTTTAATTTTTACCTACATTTCAGATACATCCATAATTTTAAATTGTTCAATGCTCTGATAGGAATAAAGAAAGTTTTTTTAAAAAAGGCATTTCTATGGCGATAGGTCAATTGCCAAAACCGGCTGAATAGAAAGCTCTTTCCTACCAGGTATGGGGGGGGGGAAGGCAGCCAAGCATCCCAAGGAAGAGAGTTCCAGACCTTGAGAGTCAATATCAGTGTCAACACTGCAAAGAGTAATTAACATGTTTGCTGACCCGAATTGTCAAATTGGCTTGGAAGCAAGCATAGCCAAGAGCTGGGTTGCAATGATAAAAAGGTGCAATCCTGGGGTGGGTGTGTGTGTGTGTGTGTGTGTGTGTGTGTGTGTGTGTGTGTGTGTGTGTTGTGTGTGTGTGTGTGTGCGTGCAACCCAAGCTCTTTGGTATGGCATGATTTGACCCAGTATGTCAACAGTGGGGATACTATGGGATGAAACAAAATCCTTCAAGATAATTAAGAGTTAGCATATGGAACAAATACCTACACTTCAGTTCAAGAATAAATTGTATGTCACCGTTTCCAAGAAAAATTACACAAGAAAATCCAGACTGATTGTCTAGACATTATATATTCCACATGGGAATGGTTTGCCTAAAGCAAATTGCTTTCTTTGACTCCTGGAAATCTCAACACCCCCCAATGGTATACTTTTCAATCTCAACTACCCTGCTTTCTCATTAGGAAATACATACATTCACTTGTGTTCCCTAATTGTACTCTTCAGCCACCCACCCCCCTCCCCTCCGCCTGTATAGTC